TACGCACAATTCCAGACAATGTATTACGGTCGTAAAGACCCCTATCCTTTATTGGACTATATAAATTACAAAAAACGTGGAAGTAATAAACACGCTGAAAATTTTTTTTTTTTTTAAGTTTAAGTTTTAAGATAAAAAGAATCAAATATTTTTAAACACACTTTCATGTGTTTTCATGTTTTCAATGTTTTAATACAATATATACATTGATGAATCGATCAAGTCGTTGATTTTATTGAATTTACACCTTGGTGTAGCCATTGTGATTAAAGTCTTAAGGTCCAATAAGCTTTACTGTCGCTGTGGTTCGCATTCGTCGTCTTTTCAATTGTTTCGATTGAATCCAAAAGTTCCAAATATATTCGCTTCACAACTGAGCATGCACATTCATGATTGTCCGAATTTTTTCCCACATCCGATAATTCACAACCTTTGTAATGTAAAAAGTCTCCACCTACACCGTTGACTTTATCGCCTAGACGTTCTGCAAAATATTGTAAATCTCGATAATTTTTCAATAGTTTACTAACTAGTTTGAAAACTCTATCCGTCGGATCGTTTTCAACAAGAAAATTCAATTTATCCGATATATCTTTGAAATAATCCATCTTGCGCACACAATAGATTAACAAATACTGAGAACCTATTAGAAGTCAGCATACAATGTTATGCTGCTGCCCCCTCCCTCCTCCTTTCCGAATATCTTTTAGATAATTATTTCGTGATAACGGATAAGGTGTATACGACTAAGATATTAAAATATTACTAGATAAATGATTGTAATGAACACTGGCCACTACGTCATTCATACCCATGCATATAATAATATTAAGCAAAGACAAAAAATTCAGTTTTCAATCGTATATTTGATACGTCTGCATGTCTAATTTATATACGTTTTAATTATTATAGTTAAATATAGTTATTTAAAATAGCGTGAAAATTAAAGTGAAATGTTTACACATATATGTCATTAGGATTTAAAACAGATGCCTTTGTAAAAATTATGACCGTCTGCCGTCTCTAATGCGTTGACGGATGAAGAATGCAATCCTTCCAGTCGAAGCTATTATTTTATTAAAAATAATTTATTACAGTTGTTAAATACGGTAATAATTTATAACAATGGGAGGGATACCAGTAATAATTCAGACAAAATATATATGTACGACATTAATCGATAAGTATAATACAGATTATAATAATATTATAAACATTATAATATATATGTTCCAGTGATTACGTCGTCGTCGTCGGCGGCGGCGGCGGTAGTGTTTATTTAAGAATGTGTTTTGCTATAAGAAAACTTGAAAAGTCGTCATTAGTATATATTGTCTACAAAAAAAAAATATTGATTTATTATTCACTATACGAATAACGGTCAAGCTTATTAACTCGTATAATAACAATTAATCTAATTGATGGCAACATCGACGTCGCCGCCGCGTTGGTNGGCGACATCGCCGACGCCGTCGCCGCCGCGTTGGGCCATCTGCTGTATTAATCTCAAGTGCTATAGTGTAATCATCAATACAGCCATCTGGCACACAATGTTTCGAACTAATTTTTTTTTAACAATNCATCTGGCACACAATGTTTCGAACTAATTTTTTTTCACAAATTAGGTAAAATTAACATTTTACGTATGGACTTTATCTAAATGTGTTCATGTCGCATATCAATATAGCGGATTCGACGTTTAAAATTCGTACTTTTCACCTTAACCGTATAGCTTACCTGGAAAATGCATTTGTTTTTTTTTTTTTCGTTAAAAACCGATATTATGTATTTATGACCGAGCATAATTTAGACGCGTGACAGGTTGTGTTAGTTTACGTCGTGTTTCATTCCCCCCTCCCACCTATAGGTTTGTTTACCTTAAGTTTCATTACCCCTCTCTCATAAGACTTGGAGGAGGAGGAGAGGTTCCTCACCTGATTTAGGTTAGTTTACCTTGGGTTACATCATCGTGGACTGATCAAGGACCATGAGCTGGGCCTGCTCATCGACGACAGGTTGATGTTCGGGCCGCACATCGAACGTGCGGCCCAGCGGGCTCAGAAGGTCATGGACCGCCTGGCGGGACTGATGCCGAATATCGGGGGACCGAGGGAACATCGACGCCGACTGTTAGTTAGTGTCGTCCACTCGGTCCTCCTTTACGGGTCCCCGGTCTGGGCGAGTATCCTGGAGTACTCGCCCAAGAACGTAGAAGCGTTGAACCGGATCCAGAGAAGGGCCGCTCTCCGGACGGTGTGCGCATACCGCACCGTATCCGGAGTGGCGGCCAGGATCCTGGCTTCTCTGCCGCCCGCGGACTTGTTGGCCGTCGAACGCGCCAACGGATACGAGCTCCGGAAGAGTACCGGTCAGCCGCTTCGTGCGGAGGACCGGCTACAACTCCGGAGCGTAACCGTGTCCAGTTGGCGCCAACGACTGGCCGACGAGGAATCCGCGGGAGCGTGGACTAGGTCCCTCATCGGACCCAGCCGGCTCGACAGGTGGATTGGCCGGACTCATGGGGAGATGACATACCGTCTGACCCAAGTGATGTCCGGTCACGGCTGCTTCAACGAATACCTTCACGGTATTCGGAAGGCAGCCGAACCTACGTGCGATCATTGTCGGGATCGCCCGGGAGAAGCGGACAATGCTCTGCATACACTCTTCCGGTGCGAAGCGTGGGCCAACAAGCGGGAGGAGTTGGAATCCCGCTTGGGGTCCGCGTTCGGTGTGGGGTCCATATGCTTAGAAGCCGGGAGGGGTGGTCTCTGGTTCAGGCGTTCGCCGAATCGGTGATGAGCCATAAAGAGGAGGCCGAACGTCTGAGGCAGAGACTGCCCAGGGTGGTAGTACCTGCGGCGTCAGCTAGACTAGCGCCGTAGGTGCTTATTGTATGTGTTTTTATGTTTTTATGTTCTGTATGTTCTGTGATTTATTTTGCCCAACCCTCGCAAAGTCCTGCCACCACCTCCACGTGGTGCAACCCGGGCAACGGATCCCGACTTTTGGGATCCGGCTAACGGGGGAGGCCACACCACGTTGTGAATCAGCTCTTGATTAATTTCGGGCTGATTCACAACGTGGTGATGTGAATTTTAGACGGCGTGGGCCGCCCTGAAGCAATACCTCGCGGTAGTTCCAGGGCGGTCCACAACATGCCGGTTTGGGAAAAAAAAAAAAAAAAAAGGGTTACATCATCGTTCCCCCTCCCGTTGCATTATGTTAGTTTACGTTGGATTTACTCCCCCCGTCACCCAAATCACAACATGGAACGGTGGGTGGGTGAAGCGGGGGGACCAGAACTCTCTATTTTACCCTACTCAATTTCATAGTAGATATACTTTCACAATAGATATAGACAATCAATAGATATACTTTCTGTATTGCCAGTTTAAATTATATTTATTCTGTAAGTAATTCAGTGGGTTATGATAAAAAAATCATTCTGTATACGACTACAGTATAAAATCGTTTGTAGCTGAAGAAGTACTCGAATTATTGTTGACCCAATCATATTTTTGTAAAAAAAAAAGTCCAAAAATGACACTTTTAAATTTTTGATTAAATTTTAATTAAAATTTTTTATTTTATTAGACAAATAAAAAATAATTAAGTAAAATTAAAACTATATTAAAAATAATATTAATTTAAAAAACTAAAAAATATTAAACTCAAAGCCACAAAAAATTAATAAAAAGTCGCGGATACGTATTTCGGAAACAATGTTACCATTATCAACGCTAAACACATACAGACACCCCGACTAGAAAAAACTCCCTTATATACCCCTAGTGACGTCTCACTAAGTAATATTATCACATTTCTATTGCTTCTCTGATATTAAGTTCTTTGTAATTATTTACGTTTTTAATTAATTTTATGGTTTTAATGGAGTGATTATGTGTCAATAAATGTTCAGCCACTGGAGATTTCTCAATTTCTTGATTTTTAATATTTCTTAAGTGCTCTTTAAACCTGACCCCTATATTTCTTTTTGTTTGTCCTACGTAACATTTATTACAACTTTCACATTGTATTTTATAAATGCCTGATTTCCCCCCTTCATCTACCTTATCTTTAGGGTTACCTAATAAATCTCTTAAATTATTACTC